TTTTCTCTAAAAGTAAGAGCACTGTGAGAAATTCAAAGAGTGAATGTCAGGACACAAAATGTCTCAGGGATCAAAGTCCTCACTTTGACGCTTTAATGCACCACAGCTTCATCTTTATACGAACTCTGCTGCTCTTCCACTGCAGCACGAGCCGTGCTTTAGCATTTTTCCATTAAGCTGTAAATCTATGACATCATACTGATTTGCCTGAAACATCAACACATATTGGCGTGTACAAAATTATCTGGGCGGTGTTCCTCGTCTGTATCTCCCGATTCGATCACTGACGCAGACGGAAACATTTCTAATTTACGATTCAAAGATGAACTTTGTCTCAATGGGACCAATCACTAAATAACCTTTGGTATGCAACTGCCTTACACAACGACCGCGACCATCATTATCTGCATGTCAACATAATATTAACATGCCATGAACCACCTCCTCGCCATCCTTATCATTCCACACACCTCATCGCCTACATGAACAATAATTTACTTCCACACGCTTTCAATAAAAACTGCTTGTTAAATCCTGAGTGCTGCAGCGCTTCTTTTCGACTCCACGTAGAGTTCAAACATGGACTAGAAATGTGAGCAGAAACCTTCAGGTCACTTGCCTACGTCTGCATCATCTGTTTATAGAAGTTAGCAGTGCAGGAGCCATTTTTGATTCGTGTTTCACCTCTAGCCACCAAACGCTGCTTCTCCATCTTAACTTGTGTATTTGTGCATTTACTTCATGCATTCAGGAGAATTAGAGGTAAAAAAAAAAAAAAAAGCTTACAACCATGTAACATGCAGGATGGACAAGCGAACTATTCTGATTTTAAACTAATGATTTCTTTTATTTAACTTATTACCTCATTATTAACATTTCTTTAGTTCAAAGCTAAATTGTTAAACAGAAATTTGGAAAGTGAAGCACATATCAGTCAATAAGCCTCTCAGTGGCATTTTAAAGACATTAACATACTCACAATGAATAAAAGCAGTATGAGAGATCCACATCAGAAATGTTTATGAAAAAAGAAAATGCTGGCAAATTATAGTGCTGTAAACGCCAGTGTAGAAAGGTCAGTAAAAGCCACAGACTGTATCTAAAGGATGTAAACAGCTTTGGACGCTTGGTGGTTCGATCGCTGGCTGTTCCAGTCTGCATGCCAAAGTATTCTTGGGTAGAAGTAGAAAAGTACTATACAAGAACCAATCCATTTACCAAAGCCTGGAAACATGACGATGAGGTGGTGTCAACAGGTGTTAGCTAACAGGGAGGGGACACAACAGCGAGAACATAACACTACAAAAAGAAACAAGTCAAACTGACCGAAACAAACAGACTGACAAAAACAGTAAACAGGAAATGACTTGGCACAAACTCGACATTTAGTCACCACCATGTGACCACACCTGAGCCGTAAGCACTAGCTAGCTTGGTTAACGAGTGGCATCCGTAGCCCATAAGCACATACACAGAAAGCTGTTGATTAGTGATAAATAACAAACAAACAATAAATAAATAAATACTCATTATCATTTAAAACTGATGCACAAACTTTTTACACAGGAAGCAAAAATAATAATTTCACCAACAGCACAACCTCAGTCGACAGATTCACTTTGTTATACCTGCTTAGCATCAGCCCCTTTATCAAAGCAGCCACAGCAGATGATTTGACAGACAGCTCAGCCCTCCCAGAGCTGAAGCTGAAAACTATCTGCAGAAACCAAAGCTAGTTTTTGTCCCAGGTCGTGAACTTGTTTATTTCTGCTCTGAAGTGAGACATTTTAATATGGGACTGACCCGTTCTGTTGAACACAGCCTCAAGTGGACGTTAGAGGAACTGCAGGCTGGGGCACTTCACTTTTTTTAACCCTCGAGGTTGCTGCCTTATAGAGCTTGAAATAATAAGCTCTTGATATGATCACTGGTTTAAATATACAGCTGTCTTTTGAGTGCTGGAGCTGAAGCATTGATATTGAGTGCTAAAGTTTCACGAGACACCACAGAGAAGTCAGGGTTAAGTTTAGGGTGTAACCAAAGAAATATTTCCCTTATCTCTCCACTCCCTGAACAAATCAATAATATTGATCAAATGCTTTAAGTGCTCTGTTTAATAATTTAGCATGAATAATTAACAGTAAAAGCATACGAAATACACAGAAATCACTCTTTCCTAGTGTATATACACTACAAGCCTAGAGGAAGACAGAAAATTACACATTTAATCAAATAAGACTCAATGAGAAGCACTTAAAGAGCAGTGCATTTAGATTTTATGCAGGTCAAGAAAAAAATAAAATAAATCACAAGACAAGAAAGAAATAAATCTTTTGACTCAGCATTATTAACGTGAAAAGCCGAGCACGGATTCTGTACACAGCAGCAGAGCGAGGCTGGAAATCTGTTAAGCAACAATTCCATTACGAGCACGATGTTCAGCCAGCATCTGAACTTAAACAGCTGCTGTTCCACTGCATAAAGCTTTCCTAAGGTGCAGTGGGGCTGACTCAAAGCCTCTGATAAGAGGCACTTTTGCAGTTTAAGGATCCTAAACAAATCCAACATGGAATTAAGGCAACATTAGACATTTATCCACCACATTACAAAAGTAATAATAGGTCTATAAAAACGTTGTTCACTTTTAAATGATCCTCATTATGTCATACTCTGTCTTGGTGAAGCCCCTCAGTTCATTTAATCTGAAACAAGCTGTTTTCACTCCTTCCCTTTAAGCCAACTGTCTTCTGATTTGCTGCTTCTTGAAAACAGAAGGTTTTAACAATGGGTGGGTGGAGCTTCTGTGCTCAGTCACATATGTGTGAGATGACCATAAATAAAAACTGTATGAAGCTAACGGTTACGCCTTTTCTTCATTAGCAGAAACCTGCAACGAGTAAAATGGCTACGCACAAATCACCACCGTGGTCCAATGATGAGGTGCAGACAACCACCCTGAGATAACGGTAGCCGAGTAAACTTGTATTAAATTGGCTCTAGAGAAAATCATCAGACACTTGGCACACTTAGCTTGATAAAGCTACCTCCTAAATCAGAGCAAGCTAATGTCTCAGTCACACGAGTAAAAACAGGAAAGCTGTACTGATTTTTTTCACATTCTGGAGAGCTTGAGCGTTTTGAACACTCTCGGTCACTTCTGATCGTAA